GTGACCGCGACCTCCGGAGGGGGGTGCCACGACTTGGCGGCAACATGATCGTAGACGTGAAGCGTATTTGTGTACAACCTGGCCTGAAGTATGTTCAATTTCTCAAATTCCGGTGTGTTGATTCATGAAAATCGGCGGTTGTCGATGTCACCTCGACATTTGCACATTTTTAAAATTTTGTAGTTGTGGTCCTGCACGCACGCACCGCCATATATGCATTCTTTGCCCTTTTTGGACGATGTCGATTTTGTTTTTGTTTTTGTAGTTGCTTCGTTGTGATCGGGTCAGTGACCAATTTATTTCTACAGTGTACTCGTTCAATACGATGGCAGCTTGGTCTGGCTTTTCGGTTTCGGAAATTATCTTTCTCTACTTTTCTGCAATGATGGAATGCCATACCTCAAGACATTTCAGTTACATATCATCGGAAAATACAGTTCTCATCTCGGCAACAGACGAAAGAAACCACTACCGGAATTTCCACTGCACTAGCACTTGCTCTGACCACGAGGTCAGGAAAGCGAAAGCGCTTGGATGTGAGCGGCAGTCCCTCAAGAGTACAAACCTACCTGATTGTATGAATTATTTTCGTCGACTTCAAGAATGATACGAGCCACGAGGCACTTCCTCCAACATGCAACATGCGAAAAATTACATCCAAAACGGGCCACAACTTTATTAGGAAACGCACGAACTCTTTTGGATACGAACTGCAATTCGTAAAGTTTGTGTGACAACTTCACGTCTACGCGTGTACGAGGCCTAGTGTGAGCACGACTGCCACGTTTCTGCGTTTTGCTGACGCATGGACGCGTGCTCATGGTCGCAGTGTGAGCGCGCCCTTATAGGGGATTCACACACACGGGAAAACCTGAGGTCACCAGTGGGAAAGTTTTAGGGCCGATTCCCACTACGGTACCGTGAGTGCCGTGCCGTGAGTACCCATGGTGATTTGCTCACGTGAGGGGCAGTTTTGGCGCGAGTTCATTCCGTGGCTCCTGCCGTACCGCGCCGTGGACATTCCGGTGCCGAGAGTCTCTGGGGGGTGGAAATGGCATGCCGTGGTATTCCGTGAGGTCGAATGCAGTGAGTAGTAGGTATTTTACTACTCCCTGAACGGAAGTTTTTTTCTTTCTTTTGTATTTGTGGTACGAAGTTTTTTCTTGGCTTTTGGCTTTTCGATTGGTTGATTCTTGAGCTTTCTCCAGTCATCTCCCCCGCTATTTTCCCTCAGGACCAAAGTCAGAAATTGATAAAAATGGTGATCCGGCCTGCCGACGGAATGCACGGAATGATTGGGCGCAGGTGTAAATCACTCTCAGCTTCAAGCTCGTACCGTGGGGTACACGTGACCTACCCAAATCGTAAGCACGGCACTCACGGTACCGTAGTGGGAATCGGCTGTGTTTACATCAGGGAGTGGTATTGTACTACTCCCTGGTTTACATGAAGCGTTTCAACCCGGGTTGAGTTCGACCCGGGTCAGATTTCAACCCGCCATGTGCATAAAATGAATGGCGCGTTTACATGACGCATTGCGCTTGACCCGGGTTGAAATTTCGCCCCGGGTTGATTTCAACCCTCCCCCCAAGGGGAGGGTTGAAATCAACCCGGGTCAAGAAAATCGTACAAACGTACTTCTGTGCGTATCTCGCGCCAGGTTTGAACGGCACTGCAGATGCAAATTTCGCGCGAACGGATTCACGTGACCATACAGGACTGTAGAAGTGGACTTTTGGCGGCATCATGATCAGTATTTGACCCGGGTCAACTGTCTTCATGTAAACGCTCACCTCTTTTGTCTGTCGTACAGACTTTCAACCCGGGCTGAACTCGACCCGGGTTGAAATTTCTCATGTAAACACAGCCTTACTGCCGCGGCTGCTGCGGCAGTAAAAAAGTGCTCAGGCTGCATGCGCGCTGGGAAAAAGGGGAAAATCCCTTGTCAGTGCCGCGGTGAGAGCTGAAAACTTCACGGTAACGTTAGTTTGTTATCGGTAGCAGCAAGAGTTATTATAGCAATAAAAACTGCTTTATGGCAGTTTTCTAAAAAAAGTTATTGTGTTCTAGTCCATGGACCCCGTCTAAAAAGTAAAAAATTAACGAAATGTGATAGCCGAAAATTACAATTTCACACAAAACCTCACAATAATCACGACACTTTCAACACTTGTTTATTCCGACACTTGTACTTGTACAAGTACATGCATATGAAAGAGGACCACGAGGGGAAAAGGTCGTCTCGCATTCTGTGTGTGATTATTGTGAGGTTTTGTGTGAAATTGTAATTTTCGGCTATCACATTTCGTTAATTTTTTACTTTTTAGACGGGGTCCATGGACTAGAACACAATAACTTTTTTTAGAAAACTGCCATAAAGCAGTTTTTATTGCTATAATTTCTTTTGTTTTTTTGGCTAAAGGATATAATTGTGTCACCAATGGAATGCCCAAATAAATGATGGCCTACATGTAGCGCCTCTACATGTTATTATTATTTTATTTTACTAGGGTGTTTCCCACAGACCTCTGGTCTTCTTACGGGAGCCCCTATGTACGTGTATCATATCAAATTCAATACCGTAGTATACGCAATTACGCATTGATGTGCAAGCCTTTTCTTGCAGAAAATGGAACTAGTCTTGCATACATGTATTCATGTTCTTCCGCAGGGGAATCGTATGGGTCGTGGCGGTGATACTTTTTTATACGCAGGTCATTCTGTGGATGTTGCAGAATTTCATGACTCTGTCATAAAATTGTCTTGTCTTTCAGAAAATTCAGGTGTCCACACCCTAAATCAGATTTACTTGAGAATTGTAACAAGGTGCGTGCCGCAGATGTTTTTGTTGATTCTGTGTTTATAATTGTAGTCATGGGTTGTCGTGATAAGGTCATCCAGCATCATATTGTAGTGAAATCGTAATCCTGTTGATGTCGATAAAACTTTTGGAAGCAGTTCAATGACTTCAAAGTGTTACAAGTCCACGATTGTCTAAAACAACACAGCAAAGTGGGAACAATAAACATGTATTAAAATGTAAACATATACATTGCTGAGTTCGACACCTCGTTCCAACAACTACACTGATCCTGAGGATATAAGGGGCAAGGATATATGGTTGGAGGTACTGAGAGATAAACAAGGCACTCCATAATAATAATATGTTACACGACTTTGGGGGAGTATGAATGATATCCAGTCAAACCTCTTTAGGACGAACATCAAGGGACCGATGGCATTTGCTCTGTGAGTTTGTCTTAACCCTATTTTATAACGAGTGAATACAATTATTTCTCCAATAGAGACACGAATAGATTTCTTCTACAGCGAAAGATTCGAAGCCAGACCAAACCATTGACTAGTCTTTTATGAAAGAAATGAGTCACTGAACCTTTCTTTAGCAACATCATGACGGCAACTGAAACAACAACAGAGAAAATACGATACATGTACAGCACATTCTTGCAGGTACTACAAACAGATTGCAGATCGTAATTCTTGCTCTACCGGCACGCAACTTTATTTGGGGCAGTGCAATCTCGGCGCTACTCACAAATCAAACAGCCCAGACTCGAGTAAACAAATCCGATCGTACGAGATTTTCACGAGACTGCACCCATTGGCTTGTTTCGTATGAAGCAAACAAGTCACTGAATGCATGAACCTCTCCATAATGGAGATTTTCCCTGATATGCGAATTTAATTTGCATACTAATACTCGGCCAATGCGTCCTTGAACCTTTCCCTCCAGATTGGGAACTGCCAACGATGCTATGCCACTGATTCAGATTCTACCCTATGATCGGAGCACGGAATGCCGGAAGTAATCATGACCAGTGCCTTACTTGTAACGTACCAATGTACAATGAACATGAGTATTTCGACAACACATCTAAGCCTCAGCAGCAACATAAGCCTTACCGTCAAGAAGGTGAACTCGCGTTCTTCGCACACTGTTGGCAAGGGCAAAGAGATACGAATGGATCTAAATCCGAATAACAACAGCACACGTTTCCGTAAATGAAAGGGTGAGCATAAGCAAATGAATCGAAGGAAGCTGGTCAATTCAGAGATCACCTGTCATTGAGTATCCCGTAAAAGGAGGCCTCGACAGCAGAAAAGTTAATAGTATCGAAACGAGATCCTGTCAGCTTTTCCATTATTAATTTTGTTGTATTCCACCTAAAATCAGCCCACTTTTCGTAAATGAAAGAGTCAACACAAGCAAATGAATAAAAGGGAACTGGTCAACTCACCTGTCATTGAGTAATATTCCGTGAAAAGAGGTCTCAGCAGAGCCGAAGCGAAATAAGCCAGGACACGAAATATCCGAAACAGCTCATGCAAGAAGCAGTTCCAAAGAAGGAAGTTCCTCGCGCATGCACATCCGAAAACGGACTGCACTGCATGCAACACAATGTCTGCCGTGCACGTGCACAGCATGCGGCTACCACGCGTTGGTAATCTAATACCGAGCACCTTACGTAGAAACTTACGTAGCCTAAGTGAAGTACCGCGCACCTTACGTAGAAACTTACGTAGCATAGCGGTGTCGTTTTTTCTGCCATGTGAACACAATAATAGAAAAGCTGACAGGATCGCTTTTCTAAATACTCCTGAAAATCCTGAAAATCCCGCTGCAGAATAACCCCCTTTTTCCCGCAAAATATGCAGCATATTTTGTTTACAAAAAAAATTTCCGTCCGCGTTTCCCAAACAGGTAGCGGGATTCACAGAAGCTTTTCTGCGATTTTTGGTTTGTCAGCTCAGCTCTTCCTGCTTCAGGTGGTTTGAGTTTCAAGTTTTGTGCTGTTGTTTTTCGAGTTGCTTCAAGCATGGATCACCTCAGCATGGAACAGTCCTGTGTAGCTGCGGCTGCGATAATACTTGCGGTGGTTTTTCGCCGTCGTCGGTGCCGACCGCTTCCTAGGAGATGGTGGATACGTCCTTTCTACCGTGCAAGAGAGCACCGTGGAGCATTCCTCGATTATTTGGAGATGAGGAGGAGTGATTCTGAACTCCACTTCAAGTATGTCCGCATGTCGCCGTCCGTATTTGACAAGCTCCTGTCGAAAATCAAGCCCCACTTGCGGAAACGGTCTCGCCGTGCAGCCCGGTCACGACCAGAGATGTCTGATACTTGCAAGTTGGTGGTAACGTTGAAATATTTGGCAAGCGGTCAGTCCATGCAGGAACTGGCCATAGCGTTCCGGATGGGACATTCCATCGTCCACTATGTGGTGGTGGAAGTATGCAACGCCATATGGTCTGGATTAATGGAGGAGTACCTGAAGTGCCCATCAACACCTGCGGAGTGGCATGCTGTGTCTCGTGACTTCGTGAGATATTGGCATTTTCCACACTGCCTGGGTGCCATCGACGGCAAACACGTCGTGATACAGGCACCTAACAACTCGGGCAGTGAGTTTTTCAATTACAAGAACAGTAACTCAATCGTACTACTTGCAGTTGCAGATGCCAAGTATCGATTCCTGGCTGTGGATATTGGCGAAAGCGGACGCCATAGCGACGGTGGGGTTCTGAGCAATAGTGTATTTGGCAAGGCACTGGAAAACGCGAGTCTGGGCGTGCCAGCGCCAGATCAGTCCGTGCCAGAGTTGGGAGAGTTCCCCTACTGCCTTGTTGGCGATGAGGCGTTCCCTCTCCGAGGGTAAGTTATGTAATGGAGTACTCCTCGACACACTTGTACCGTAATATGATACGATAATACGATGTACTCTGCTCTCTATCATGCAAGTGTGCATGCTTTGACTTGGATGCGCCTGCGCGCATGTGGTTTGTGAGGTTCTTAGATTTGTTTTCTTTCTTAAATATGTTGAAAGGAGATTGAATCCTTTGGCAATACTTTATTATTGTCTACCTGTAAATATTGTCTCATGTCTTATTGTCCCACGGGTACTTGATGCGGCCATATCCTGGCAGAGGCCTCACCCTGTTGCAGAGGATATTCAATTACCGCCTATCCAGGAGCAGGAGGATCATTGAAAATGCCTTCGGTATTTTGATTGCTAGGTGGCGTATATTTCGCCAACCAATCAATGCAAAGCCGGAAAACATTGCCGTGTTCGTGAAAGCCTGCGTTGTTCTCCACAACTACCTGCAAGTGGAGCAGTCATCATCCTACTGTCCTGCTGGTAAGCATGGATAAAATAGGCTTTCTTGAAGAATGTATTGATTGTAGCACTTCTTCTGTGACTTTTCAATAAGATGTACGCTATTTGTGATTATCATAATGGTGGTCCACGCATATAAGAATGTACATGTAGCTAGGGTGGCAATTACGCTGGTTAAATCAATTAACGTATATTAGAATAAAGTTTCATTAGCACAATCTTGCATTGTAAAAAATACAGCATGTGTATGTATGTATAGTACAGTGCGTATCGGTTATAGCGTATATATTTTCTATTTTTACATGCAGGCTTCGTGGATGGCGAAGACAACCGTGGCAATACTGTAACTGGTGCTTGGCGAGAGAACCTGGAAGATGGGGGTGTGGCACCCATCAGCAGGATGTCCAGTAACAATTATACCTCGCAAGCAAGGGCCTTGAGGGACAGATTGTCCCAGTACTTCGTTTCGGCACCCGGTTCAGTTCCGTGGCAGGTTGAGTCCGTAAGCCGCGTGTGCTGAAAGGTTCGTCCTGCTGGTAAGCATGGATAAAATAAGCTTTCTTGCAGAATTTGTTGATTGCATGTAGCATTTCTTCAGTTTTCAATGGGATGCACACTATTTGTGTTTGTCATAATGGTAGTCCACTCATACAAGGCCACCTCCACACATAAAGGCATGGAAACAAAACTCAAGACCCAAGAGTGTATTTTGAAGACTTGAATACTTGTATTGAAAGACATGCCCTTGTATCCAGAACATTTGTTTCAGGGATGAATGGAATGTTTCCTTACATAATATAAGGGCATGTACTTGTGTGTGGGTGAATATGGCAATTATCACAATCTTGCATATTATAAATATTGCATGGGTATGCAGGGGCGTCGGAACCTGTGCGGCAGGTGCAGCCAAGGCTTTTCACTCAACCTATTCATGATTGCACCAATGTCGAGTATCTTCTGACACCCCCGGTATGTTAAAAAAAGAAAAGGATTATCATTTCTTTGTGCTATTGGCCTGTGTCATTATAGTCGTTACGCCTGTATTTTCTATCTTTACATGCAGGCTTCGTGGATGGCAGAGACAACCGTGGCACACTTCGAGTATGCTACAAGGGAAATGTGGGGACTTGAAGACTTGAAATGCTTGACAATGTGAGCTGTTGGCAGCCTTGTGACTCCATACCCGGTGATTCGGGCAGGTGTTCCTTGGTGATGGAGCGATGAAGCAGTCTTGTTTTTAAACTTGCTCCTTCAAGCGAAGCGTGGGGGACTTGAAATGCCTAATGATGTGAATGTTTGGATAGCCTTGTGACTCCACACCCGGTGATTCGGGCAGGTGTTGCCTGGTGATGAACGCGAGAACAGTGTTGTATTTAGCCGCACTGCTTGAAGGGAAATGTGGGGACTTGAAATGCTTGACAATGTGAGCTGTTGGCAGCCTTGGGACTCCATACCCGGTGATTCGGGCAGGTGTTCCTTGGTGATGGAGCGATGAAGCGGGTGTTTTTAACTTTCCTCATTGAAGGACAATTTGGGGATCTGACATGCTTGACGATGTGAATGTTTGGGTAGCCTTGTGACTCCACACCCGGTGATTCGGGCAGGTGTTGCCTGGTGATGAATGAGGAAACAGTGTTGTATTTGGCCTCACTGCGTCAAGGGAAGTGTGGGGACTTGAAATGCTTGATAATGTTGACGTCTATGAAGGCTTGTGGTATCATCATTGCTGGTTCAATGCGATGTTGTATAACTGCACTGCTGGATAGCCCTCAATTCCAACTCTTGTGGGTTGTGAGTTGCCTCGCATTCAATGATGACGGTCTTTGAACTGCAGTTAAGCTTTGCAGATAACGTTGCATACAGATATCTGAGGATGCGAGGGTATTGTGTGTGTGTGTGTGTGTGTGTGTGTGCTTGTGTGCTTGTGTGCAACATGGATTCCTGTTTTTATGTTTATGTGGGTGGATGGGTGTACATGTGCATGTGTGTTCATGATTGCTTGTCATCATGTGTGTGGGTGTGGGTGTGGGTGGATGTGTGGATGTGTGTGTGTGTGTGTGTGTGTGTGTGTGTGTGTGTGTGTGTGTGTGCATGTGTGTGTGTGTGTGTGTGTGAGAGAGAGAGAGAGAGAGAGAGTGCAAACTAGTAAACTACCCATTCCAAAATGCTAACCTGTTCCATACTCCTGTTCTTTTCTTCTTTTCCTGAACTTGATGCTAGCCATTCATTCATTTCTTTTCCCGTTATTTCCGTCAACGGTGTGGTTGTCCATGTGTCGTGTTTCATTTCGGTCTCAGATCCTGTTAGTGTATTGAGAATTTAAATATGTTCATTTCAAGATACTGTGAGCCGCAGGAGTCAGCATTCAGCATGTGTGTGTATGTGTGTGTATGTGTGTGTATGTGTGTGTATGTGTGTGTATGTGTGTACATGTGCGTGTTTATGATTGTTCTTCATCATGTGTGTGTATGTGTGTACATGTGCGTGTTTATGATTGTTCTTCATCATGTGTGTGTATGTGTGTACATGTGCGTGTTTATGATTGTTCTTCATCATGTGTGTGTATGTGTGTACATGTTCGTGTTTATGATTGTTCTTCATCATGTGTGTGTATGTGTGTACATGTTCGTGTTTATGATTGTTCTTCATCATGTGTGTGTATGTGTGTACATGTTCGTGTTTATGATTGTTCTTCATCATGTGTGTGTATGTGTGTACATGTTCGTGTTTATGATTGTTCTTCATCATGTGTGTGTATGTGTGTACATGTGCGTGTTTATGATTGTTCTTCATCATGTGTGTGTATGTGTGTACATGTGCGTGTTTATGATTGTTCTTCATCATGTGTGTGTATGTGTGTACATGTGCGTGTTTATGATTGTTCTTCATCATGTGTGTGTATGTGTGTACATGTGCGTGTTTATGATTGTTCTTCATCATGTGTGTGTGTGGGGGGGGGGGGGTGCACGTGTGAGCATGCTTTGCAGTTCTGGTGACATTCTTTTCTGTCTCAGTCCCTGTTTTCATGTGTGTATAGTCTACTCGCGATAAGTCGCCCACTTTTGCAATTGGAGGGCATATGCTTTTTTGTCTTCAAGATCGGGTGCGTGACTTATCGAGTGTAGACTGTACGTACGCAAACTGTTGTGTTCGTTTAATATATTCATTGGTTTAAGGGAAAGCTACAAAGGGAAAAAGTATGAAGGAAAACTTCACTCCTCAACTCCAATGGGCCAGGCCCGACAATTCGGTATAATGTTAAATGATTTATCGCAGTGAGGAGACCGTTCTTGGAGGTGACGAGGGAAGTTTCAATGTCAGTACCAAAATTTAGATAGGTTGTGAGGCTGTGTTGTAGTTTCATCAACAGGTGGACACACACATGGCACAATACAAGAAGAAATGCATGATTTGGAGCTGATGATGTCCAGGTGCGGAAGCGATGTTCATATTATTACGAGGACGTTTTGCCTTTTGGACTGGTTGTATCTGTATGCCCTATCCTAAATTGGATAGTTGTCATCATCATAGTTGATAAATTAATTTAAAACTGATCGGTGTTCATGCATGACACACAGAAGATACTAGACTTGAATGGCATTCTTCATTTTCTTGTAATTCCCTACATGCGAAAAGAAAGCAATGACTGCCTTGACTAAAAAAACAATGTGTAGCATTGTTCAGAGCAAAACCTTCGCACAACATTTCACTCAATCCCAATTCAAAGGAACAGTTTTTTTTTCAAGAAATAGAAAAGGCCCAACCCTGCCCTGCCAGTTACGTGGACTTACGGGGGTCGCCATGGCAAATAATAATGGTATTAAAGAACATCAAGCGTTGAAAGACGAAAATGTGCACAGCAA